TGGAAGTCGCTTTATATAATAATATATATGCTGCTTCATAATTAATTGTTTTTGTTTCATTTTAACTTTTAGCTTAACCATATACAGCTTTGCGCAGCTGGACATCTGTAAGTGAAGACCTGGATGCTTTAAAAACATTGCAACCTGAAGATAAGCATTGTAATTTAATACCTACTTGATGCAATTGCATAAAAAAAACAGATTTGTATGGGATAAAAAAATAAACAAGTATCTATACAGTAGTCGGCGACGAGGAGTTTTCGTCATCAGTCATATCATATCAGACGTCGTCCCCACTACGGCGACGCGTCACAACGCCTCGGCAACGAAACAAAGCCACGCCCATGCGCAGTTCTTCTTTTGAAAAGAGTATAGTGACTGGTAACGAATTGGACATGGAAGCTAGTTACAGAAATTTTAGTGCTTATGCTATAGCTAAATGGAAAATTGAATATTTGGTTATGTTTTCCAAAACAAAAATAGCGCTGTTACGCAATCTGAGCTTATTAAATCTGCACTAACAATAACGCAGGGTAAGGGGTTTGGGGTGTAACATGTGATGGGACTTATCTTCTAGAATAAGATACTACGCACAATGCATGGGATAACGGTGTCTGACCAACAAAGCAGTGCCGTCGATAGTTAGTTTATGTTTAAATAGTTTTGTCTTAGTTTTAATTGTGCAGTACATCCCCATCTATACACACCTGACACCTCCAATGACAATAAGTAATGTCCTATTTTGAAGTTGTATACTAAACATTTTATCATTACTTACATCGTTAGATTATTTCAATACTTTGTTCACTGTGCTAGGTACTTTATTGAAAATAATATATAACATACACTGTACTCCCTGGGAGAAATGGCATGCATTTCATATATAACAATACTACACAGCAAAACATTCTATAAAACCAAATATCAAATACCAATATTCTACAATACTTAAACCATACTTCCGACAAATTATTTAATTGGTAGTTATAACCACGAATTAAGATATATCTTAATTCATGGTTATAACATTCAAATAATAATTCCACAAATTCACACATGTGTAAAGGTACCACCATTGATTCTAAATATTAATTAGTTATTATACATTTTTATTTATGACCACAACAGCGCATTCAAAACGGCACATCATCTTTCGCCAATTTTTCGAGTAGCGTTATATGTTTACATGCGGCCCTTCAGGGATCCAAAAGCTGGTGTACTTGATAAATAATAATAGTCAATTAGAATGGTAATCAAATGTATTATATTAAACCAGACAAAACAAGCAGAATAATAGTGTTGATTGTAGTGAATTTGTAGTTCGTTCCGAAGTTGATAATCTCCGTGTAAGTCGTGTGAAATGGCTGGGCGGTTGAGCGAGACGTGTGGTGTTCTCGTCTCTGGATACATCTAACTCAGGCTGTCTCGCTGTCCCCTATATATATGGTGGCGGCGTCCTTTGAAAGTGAGCGGCGCGTGTACAGTCGCCCTTGATATGGACCTCACGATTATGAAAGTGGTATTCGTAGTCGAAAACACTTTTGGGTGTGGTCGCATTCCTGGTTGTTATTATGAGCAAAATATATGGTATTGCGTAATCCCATTACACCTCCCTACCAAAAAAAAGATTGTTAACCTTTAAGGGTTAAGAATCTTTAACATCGTTAATTAATAGTTTACAATGGCTGAATTACATTGTTTACATTGACTTTTGTATACAGTTAATAATTTGATTATAGTATTACATTTGATTACAATAATGTGAACATTTTACATTTTTTTTTTTTAATGTCATCATTATTATTATTATTGTTTTTCATATTACAATTTTAATTGTGGTTAGTAAAATAAATTAATACATGATTTAATTAAACAAATAGTGTTAATAAAAATGATTAATAATCTTTAATAAAATAATATAGGTACCTGAAATTATAACATTATAAGCGTTACGTAAGTATACAATTTAATTATTTCCCCTTTATATAATAATAATATTTATCTTCCACCTATATACTAATCTATGTGAATAATTGTTAAATTTGTCATAGACATATGCAACTATAGATTTACTTAAGGTAATTCATTATGTAATTGGATATATAATGAATGTTAATTAATTTATTTGTTTTCATTGTTTAATTTATTTTGTGTTAGATTTATTATTAATTATAATAACTTATTTATTTTTAAAATTTCATAATTATTATTTTTTTTTTTTGCTAAATTGAATAGTTTAATGGCTTTATCTTCGTTATTATTACGTCTGTAACTGGATCGTGACAATGTGTAATATTATGATTAATATCGCATGCTAGTTCATGAGCTTCTGATAGTCCTAATATTCTACCATTTTTATTTAATTTACCTAAATAACCTGAATATAAAACTTCCTTAGTCTCTAGATTTGATAATTCTAATACAAATTCGTCATTATTCCTAACGCTAATTGCCGATATATTTAAATATGCTAAAATTCCTGTTAATCTTAAACGCTTAATTATCGTGATATCTGTCGTTCCGTTCCAAAATACTATTAGTGGCTCCCTATCGTTTATATGCAAATATCTTTGCAAGTATACCGTAGACAAGGTTGATTCCCCCTGCCGACTTATACTGTTGTACAACTGTTCCAGCAATGGTTCAATCACTCTTGCCTTTTTCCCTCGGAATACTCGTTTGATATTCTGCACTGTTTTCTTTAGGTCGCATCGGCGGAATCTTCTTAACTTATCATCCTTTGTAAGTATAAGAGGACTCCCCTCCAATTTCTTGGGTTGGTATTTTTCTAAACTATTCGATATCGCGCCGGATACCAGTATCGTTTCGTTCTTACTGACGGTAAAGAACTCGAAATCCATTATAAAAAGCGTACCTGTGAGCTAAAATAAAATAATTATTTTTCTTAAAAACACTTAAATTGGTTTTTTGTATTTATAACTATGTATATGATATTTGATATATGATACATGATATATGATATTTTGATATATGATATAGTTTCCTGATTTATTCTTCGAAAATTGTTTCAATGATTTCTCGTCGTCTGATTAGTTGTTCTATCAGTAAACCCAACTCTACACACATTGGTCGATTATGATTTGGTCTTAAGATAACTGTGCGTACAAAATCGTTAACATGGATCATGACCCGTGCTAAGAAATTCGGCCTGAAAGGTATGGTCATATTACTATTTGCCCTTCTTATATGTTCTGGGAAGCAATGTAATCTGATCACTTCCCCTCGCATTATTTGTGTATGATTGGTTGATTCAATTAATTCGTTTTTTAACTCTCTGAGAAACTCAAATGTTTGTAGTTGCATTCGAACGGTTCGTGCTACAGGTGGTATGTTTTCACCCATTTTGTACTTAAAATTTTTACGTTTGTTTTTATATATATATATTTTTTTTTGTTTTCTTCTTAATTTCTGAAATAGTTAAAAGTTATTGTTATATAAGTATTATTTAGAATATTATTTACGTATATGTATATATTATTGCACGTAATATTATTTATTTAAATTATAGGATATTGTTTTACGTATTATATTTTATTATTATTTTATTTTATATTTTGTTTTGTTTAATTTATTTATCGAATATGTTCTTCACTGTAAATTTGGTGTTGAATATAATATTGATCTAATATTTCTGCAATTT